ACCTCTACATGGTAGAGGTTATAAGTCAAAGCAGCTAAAGCTGCTCACAAATTGTATGAAATTTTTTTTTTGGGGCCGGGTGGTAGCCGTTTGAATCGATTATGCGCGTGAGTCTCTATAATGCTGACGGCAAGAGGTGAGCGAATTTTTGTAATCCAGATGTCTCGCATCATGCGCCCGATTAGTTGAGTTAAGAGTCAGTTAGAGAGCGCCGTTGACGATTTTCTCAATATATATGTTTGGAAACGAAGAAAAATGCAAAATACCTATTAAATGCTACTCATCTGCATACTACTCGTACAATATTTTGTCTCTCAATCATTGCCACTCTCCCACTCTCTAATTTGCATTATTTTTATTTGTTTTTTTTCTTATCTTTCCATACAGCAGCATTTCATTTTTGCTGGCTGTCGGCTTTTATAACACCAACTGCATAAGTATGTATGTAACCGACTGTCGACTGACTGTGTGACTCTTCATGTCAAATGGTAGTAAATTTACTACATTTTTGCGTGCTAATTGAGTGATAAATTGGGAGTGGATTTTTGTGCACTTTTGGTTTTGTATCCGATTCATTCGACTGATGATACTCTGTGTGACATAGAGCACAGTGGCAAACAACAACAACAACAACAACACCAACAACAATAACTATGATGGCTAACACTGGACCAACAACAAAATGCCAACGCAGGGCGCAAACAAACACACACACAAAGATCTACCTTCTGACTTTCAATGTGTTTGTGACACATGTTGTGGTTGTTGTTGCTGCTGTGCTGCTCAAGTATGTATGTATGCTGTTAATGTTGGTGTTAGCAACTGATATGCTTACAGATTAAATTGTTTAATGTTATTATTAAAGGAGAATTAAACTAAAGCGGAAAAAAGATATTCAATTGCGGACAGACCGTACACATACTTACATATGTGTGTATGTGTGTATATGTATGAATCTGTTTTTTTTGGGATGCGGGTCAGAAGTGGTCATATACAAGAGAGTGAGAGCAGCGGCTAGGTTTGTTTCGTGTATATTTTGTAGGCTGGTTGGTCGATTGGCCGTTTGGTTAGGTGCTTGGCTGTATGATTAGTGGATGGCTTTTGAGGTGCTTATTTTTTTAACGATTTCTTCGTATGTATTTGGAATTTTTTCGGTTTTTGCAAAATGAAAAGGGCGCATACTCACACACACACACACACACACAGGCATATTTATGCTTATACACTTTGTATATTTTTTTTAGCCTGTACTTGCTCGATTTTCAAATGTACCCGGCTGCTATTTTTCGGGCGTTTTTGTTGTTTGTTCGTCTTTGGTTTGAAATACGCTCGTTGTATGCCTGAATGCGTTTTTGTGTGACTGAATGACGCTTGCGTTGTGCTGCTGCTGCTTACCTTGCTTTTTCTTCCAACCTTTCAGCCTGTTTGTCGTCTGCCTGCGCTGCTGGCTAACATGCCTAACTACAAGTAGGCACACACAAATCTGCTCGGTTTGTTGGGTTTGTTGGGTTTGTTGGCCTGTCTGTCTGTCTGTCGCGTATCAACGCGCATACAAAAGAGGCGATAAATAATGTTTAATGTTGTGTTGAGTGGCTCTACTCTATACTCTGTTTGGCTTTGCATTGTTTGTGGTGTTATACGAGTGGTAGATTGTGTATCTTGATTTCTTTTTATTGTGTTTGGTTTGGTTTGGTTTTGTTTTGTTGGCAGTGTTAAGGTAATTCGATGCGCTTTTAAGTAATTGAGCGATAATTAAGCGGGTAATTAATAAAGTGTTATACATATTTAGGTAGGTATATGATTTAAATTTTTTGACGTAAATGACGCATTTATTACAAAAAATATTATTATTGATTTGTTTGACTTTGCCAAAATTGATTAAATGCCATTCTGTAAGAGCTAAGGTGAATTAAGCTGAGGTGAGTTGAAGTGAGAGAAGTTAAGGTGAGCTGAATTGAGGTGAGTTGACGATAAAAGTTAAAGTGAATTGTTTTAAGTTGAAGTGAGTTGATTTAAGTTGAAGTGAGGTTAGTTGAAATTATTT